TACTCTACTCTACTCTACTCTACTCTACTCTACTCTACTCTACTCTAATTTTATTTCCATTTCTATTCTCTTTTCTTTTCTCTTTTCTTTTCTATTCTCTTTTCTTTTTTCTATTCTCTATTCTATTTTCTTCTTTTCTTTTATATTTTGTTTTCTATTCTTTTGATTCCATTCTATTTTCTATTCTATTTTCTTTTCTATTCTATTTTTCTATTCTTTTCTATTTTCTATTCTACTTTCTATTCTATTCTATTTTCTTTTCTATTTTCTTTTCTATTCTATCTTCTATTGTACTCTGTTTTCTATTTTATTGTCTATTCTATTCTACTCCTACTCCCATTCCATTCTATTCCATTCCATTCCATTCTTGTTTCTCCCCTTTAAATACAGTATAGATATTTAAATAGGCAGCACGAATATTCAATAAATAAAAATAAGCATTTCAAAAACTTAGGCATTAGGGAGATGTGAAGGGGTGGGGATTCGAAAAGAAACACTTGATTTATCCTAGTCACTTCTTAGCTTTCTTCTGCAAAAATGATAATCTTTATATCTGTGTTCCTTTAGGAATCCATTATTATTTTCCCCCAAGTTTAAAAAATGAGGATTCGGGTTCTGCAATATAATACTGAATGTCACAAGACGGTCTTTCAACAACCCAATTGGATCCAGGGAGCTAAAAACTCAGAAAACTTTATTAGTTTAGAATAAATACAAAAAAAGACAGAAAGATTTCAAAGAAAGTAAGATTTCAAACCTTTTCTTCCTCGCTTGGCTTCTTGTTGCAGAGCTGCAATAAATTCTGCCCAATGGCCTCTTGCTTTTGTGTTTTAAAACTGAAGGGGAAATGCCCTTCTAAACCATTTGCTGGATAGTTTTTTCAAACGAGGAAGTGATTTTTTGTTTCAGCCAGGTGTGTCTCTTTTTTAAGAAAGCAAAAAAAAAAATGTAACTCAAGAGATCTAGAAGAAACGAAACTTGCTTTAGAAGAAACCATGAGATGTAATGATTGGGAATCCTTAGAAATTATCTTTAAATTGATTGTTCCTTGCCCCATCTTTAGAAACAATTCTGATATTTCTGCCTTTTTCCCATTTCGAATTCTAGGAGTCAAATAGCAGATCCCTCACTATTTCTGACCTTTCCAACAACCTCTGATCACAGTTGTGAATCGAATTGAACAATGACCAAATGAAGGTAGAATTGATGTGAGAAAAAGAAAAGGAGGGTTGTTGGGCGTGTAAGATGAGCAACACTAGCTAAATGTTGTTTTCACAGGAATCATATGCCTGAAGGGACCAGTACTAAGAAATGTAATAGGACTTAGAATTATAAGGTAGTGGAGGAAGGTAGCACCCACCCCTCTCCTATAAAAATGAAATATATTGGGAAATATTAAAAAGGCAGAATATTTCCCCTAAAACGAGTAGAAACTCAGAAGCAGAAATTCACCTCAGAGAGGCAGAAACTCAGTTCCCCACCTTTGCTAATGGGCCATTAAGGCCGAGGTGAGAGTATTCTACACAATAAAGGCCTCTACCCATCTCACCATCCAGCCTGGGAAGATTGCATCAGCCAACACTCAGGTGAAGCCATGTGGTCCAGACAAAGCCTACAAAGTTAGTTAAGACCCCTGCCCCTTGGAATCTGACAGCCAATGGGATACATTTCTTGCACAAGAATAGGAAACACTAAGGTGGGGCCCAACAGAGGGTATATAAAGGTCTCTCTTGGCCTCCCTTCTCTTTTCCTTCACCTTGGAGCATGTGATCATCCTTCTTTGGAGCTTCAAGCCTTGTGGTCCTGTCCACCATTAAACCATCTTTCCAAATAGCCTCCATGTTTCCAGTGTCTCTTTCCCCACTTGGAACTGAACTTAGAAGGATAATTCTAACAACAGTAGGATTTAAGCAAAATTACATGTATAGTAAAATAGTAAAAAAAAAAAAATCCACCTCAAAGGACTGTAAAGGTAGGGTAATTCCAAAAAGAGGAAACTAGAGGTTCTGGAAAGATTGTGAATTAATTTGCATTTTGGACTGCAGGAATTAAATCCTGTTGAAATCTATTTTGGGGTGTGCTTACTTTACTAAAGTAGAAAGTTAGTACCCACCTCTCTCCTAGAAGAAATAAATATTTTTTTTATTTTTTTGTCAAGCAATTATAACAGGTATAAGTATAAACATAAATACATGAAATGGATATATATAAGAAAAATAAAAAGAAACAATAGGACAGGGACAGTAGGCACATTGGTGCGCTTATGCCCGCCCCCTACAGACCTCTTAGGAAAGGGGTGAGGTCAATTGTAGACAGTCTAAGGTTAAAGTTTTTGGGGTTTGGGGAAGAAACCAGAGTCAGGTAGAGTATTCCAGACATTGACCACTCTGTTGCTGAAGTCGTATTTCCTGCAATCAAGTTTGGTGCGGATAACCTTGAGTTTGTATCAATTGTGTGTTCTTTTATTGTTATGGTTGAAGCTGAAGTGTTCATTGACAGGTAGGACATTGCAATGTATAGTTTTATATACCATACTTAGATCAGACTGAAGATGGCATAATTCAAGGTTTTCTAGGTCTAGAATTTCAAGTCTGGTGGCATAAGGTATTCTGCAACAAGTAGAGGAGTGGAGAACTCTTCTTTTGAAATATTTCTGGACTTTCTCAACTGTTAACATCAGATACATAATGTGGGTTCCAAATTGATGAGCTGTATTGGAGTATTGGTCTAGCAAGTGTTTTGTATGCTCTAGTTACTAGTGTGATATTACCAGAGAAAAAGCTACATAAGATTGGGTTAACAACTCTTAATGCCTTTTTGGCTATGTAATTACAGTGGGCTCCAGCACTTAGGTCATTTAGAGATGAGTACTCCAAGGTCCTTGACAGAGTTTGGATCATCAACAAGGTCTTGACTATTCAGCTTGTATTTTATTTTCTGATTTCTAGTAAATATGAAAAAGGCAGAATATTTGTTTCCCTGGAGAAAAGGAGAAACATGTATTTAAAGACAAAGCAGCTCCCTGCCTCCCGCCTTCAGCACCAAGGTGTTGGGATCAGGGCATGATAGGATTAGCCCTCTACCCACCTCACCACTTGGCACCTGGGAAGATTGCATCACCAAGCTACCCCTTCATGGCCCCAAGGAAGTCTGACAACCAATCAGGACACATTTCTTACCACAGGAACAGGAAGGAAGTTCAAAGCCCAGAGAGGGCATAAAACCAAGGGACTTCAGCATCTCTTCCCTTTTCGCTCAGGAGCTCCAAGCCATGTGGTCCTGTCCACCATTAAACCTTCTTTCCAAGCAACTTCCCTGAATCCAGTGTCTTTTTCCCCACTTGGAACTGAACCCAGAAGGATATTTCTTCTAACAATTGCCACCCAGGTCTTGTAAAGTATTTTACAATAAACTGCTTCCCGCTTCCCTGAATGACTGTCCAATTTCTGACTGGTGAGGGCATTTCTCACGGGCGGAATTGATGAGATCCTCACAAAAAACAGAAGTTCAAAGAACAAAAGCCAGGATATAAATGAAGGTAGGATCAGGCTGGAAGCAAGGATACTGTAATGGTATAAACAAGATTTAAATTCTA